GTCTAGACTTTACATCAATGATCTAGTAGTATGGCATTCAAATATAATGTTAATGTCCAAAGAAATATGAATTTCATCATGATGATAATCAGTCACTGATATAACCTCAGCCTTGAGCTTAAACGAAGTTTGCATGATGGTTAAAGTTTGGGTGGGTGGCGGAGTTATTAATAGCATCCGCTTGAAATCATGATCCAAGGTTGAAAGATGAGCAGCAGAAAGACAAGTATCGCGATCAAAACTGAGGAAGTTCACACAGTCCCCGACATGGCAACACTTGGCCTGAAGTTCTGAACCAGTCTCTAATGATAGACTCTGGACGTGGCTGGGTGATTGCTAAGAACATACTGTAAGGTAATAGATAGACGCTGGATCGCCAAGACGAGTAACGATGAGCATATCACTTTCAACAGAACAATGGGACTGATCCACTGGTGCCTTTGGAAAGCTCGAAGGATGTAATCTCGCAATCCGTGGGGTCCTTGGTACCATCTAGGATAACCCAGCCTCCAATCTTCATGAATGACAATACTGCTCCCTTTGTCCTTTTCAGTGGTTTAATATTATTCCTGGAAAAGAACGAATCACAAACCTCACCAAGATGAAAAAGTCTTAAGTACTCCGTACTCCGTAGCACAAAGGATATTGTGTTCCTGTTGCCGCCGACGCAAAGGCAAATTTGAAATGGATTAAAATTATAACCAATGATCTGGTGCTCTGGTCCAGCAAATATGCCGCCCCTGAGAGACGCGCGTGCATTATTGGGACACACAGAGGCTCAGCACGGGCTGGGTTGATCTGCTCTGGTGGTGGATGCTGTGGGTGGTTGTCCGCCAAGGGAACTTTTGCGAGACACCTTACCTTTGAGATAGTGGATGAGGTACCTACAGAGCATGATCCGAGCATTACGGCAGTTTCAGCAAGAAATTCGATGGCTGACACGGTCATCCATCATCTTGCGCATGTAGACTTGTCATGCTGAAGAATCTTCGGCATATGGTAAAACCTAGTTCCTTCCCTGCATAAGTACACTGTAGACTTAATCTTCCAATATTTCCTTTTACCTGCTACCTACCCTACCCCTAAAAGTCTGTCTCGAATTGAAACTGCAGCAAATCCACTCAACCCAAGGACAGCTGCCTGAACTCACTCTGCGACCCTCAGGGACCTTAATTAATGAATGCAGTGGTCACCTGCCATTGGTCCACCTTACAACACAACCCCCCGTGCTGACTCAGCTGTCGAGGGTGTTTCATCGGCATTCCTGCGGTCTCTCCTGCGACCAGACCTGTCCCATCCACTCCCCCCCCGTTTTCTTGTGTTTCTGGAGAGATCAAGAGCGAAAGGGTGCCAATTTCTACCTCTCCTACTACCCTCGTTCTTTTATTTTCTTTCTTTTGATATCTCTCTTTGCCGCTTCTTGACTACTCGTCCAAATCGAAGCGTCTTGAGGGAAAACAGAAAGAGACGGATAGAGAACGACGGCCATCATATCTCAGGGAAACCCCCGTCCCCTTGGTTGTCTTACCCTCTTAGGCTATACACTGTGTGTTCGCCGTCCCGCTCGCTTCAATCGTCCTCCAACGACTTCAATATCGCTCTCGACACTCTTTATATACACTGCGACGTTCGTCACTCTTTCCGAAAAATTGTTATCGATCGCTTCATCGCCGTATCGATTCGTGCGATCCTTTCTCTCGTTTACCTTGCCTAGAAGACTCGCGCTGGACATCGGTCTATGGTCCCTTCAATGACTTCTTGAACAACAAGCCGCAATACAACCCGATCTTACTCGAACAATCTTGAATCGGCACTCTATCTGAAATTGCTCGTTACCCTCGCTTCCACATCATTACAATACAACCTTTGGTCGATACCACATTTCCGCATCCGGCCGGTCCACACTTGGTACTCTGGAGTACCACCTCCCATTCGACAGTGATCATTCCAGCCTTTTGACTGTGCTCTATTCTCGTCTCCATCCACGAACTTCTTCCCCGCTGTCGAGTGCAAGAACACAGCTCGACAGAGCCCTGCCACCATGCGGTTAATATCGCTGATCATCAGCTTGTTCGTCGCTTTTCTCGCAACACCGCTTGTGTCTGCGACTAAGCTCATCGAGTCCAATGCCCTGAACCTGTGTCAAGACAGTTCGAACTTCACAGCAACCTTCTTCAGTGTCACTTTCACGCCCAACAATCGATCATTAGCCTTTGCCTTTGATGGAGTCGCTGCGATCTCCGGTAAGGTTACCGCCGAGCTTGTTCTCACTGCTTATGGATATGAAGCACTGAGGAAAGAGCTGGATCCTTGCGAAATGAATCTGGCGGGTCTTTGCCCAATGAACGCTGGTCCCATCGATGTCCCCAGCGCCAATATCGTCGTGTCAGAGGATGTGGCTAAACAGATTCCTGGTGAGGATGCCTACACTGACTGCTGTCTGAAATGGGTGTAATCTCGCTAACCATACCATTAGGCATCGCATACACGGTTCCAGATCTTGATGCCAAGGTCCGGATTTATATCAACTCTACAGACACTGGCAAGAGTATCACTTGCATTGAAGCTAGTCTGTCGAATGGCAAGACGGTTTACCAGAAAGGCGTTGGTTGGACAACAGCTATCATCTCCGGTTTGGGTCTTGCTGCTTCCGCAATCACTTCTGGTCTCGGTCACTCAAATACCGCTGCTCATGTTGCAGCCAATGCTCTCTCTCTTTTCGGCTTCATGCAGTCGCAGGCTATGTTCGGCATGATCTCCGTTGCAATGCCGCCGATCGTCGAAGCATGGACGCAGAATTTCCAATGGAGTATGGGTATCATCCACATTGGGTTCCTGGAGACCCTTTGTACTTGGTATCTACGATCGACCGGTGGCACGCCTTCAACCCTTCTGTCCGAGTTGTCTACCACTTCCGTCGAAGTCCTGAAACGCCGAAAACGTTCTATTGAAACTACAACGAGCCTGATGAAGAGGGGCGTCAACAAAATCGTGAAAAGAACTAGTGCGGCCAACGACGCGGCTACTTCCTCAACCGTCGTTGTACGCGGCATTGATCGTGTCGGTTTCATAGCAGGCATTGAACAGACCAATATCTTCCTTACGGGTCTCATTTTCTTTGTATTCTTCGTCTTCATAGTGATGGTCATTGTCGCTCTCTTCAAAGCTGGGTGTGAGATCCTCGCCAAGAATGGAAGGATGAAGAGTGACAAGTTCTCTGATTTCCGGAATGGCTGGAAAGTCGTGGCACGAGGCATCTTGTTCCGACTGACCCTGATTGGTTTCCCCCAGATGTGTGTGCTGTGTCTCTGGGAATTTACCCAGCATGACTCGGCCGCTGAGATGGTACTGGCGGTTATCATGTTTCTGTCAGTGCTCGGCGCTCTGGGCTGGGCTGCTTTCAAAGTGATCCTCCTGGCCAAGCGCTCGGTTGTCATGCACAAGAACCCAGCATACATCCTCTACTCTGATCCCACATGCCTGAACAAGTGGGGATTTTTGTACGTGCAATACCGTGCAACTGCCTACTACTTCGTGGTGCCGGTCCTAGTGTACCTTCTTATCAAGGCCATGTTCATTGGCCTTGGGCAACCCTCTCCTGTTGTACAGACCGTCGCCCTGGTCATCATCGAGGCCGCCATGCTCATTGCCGTCAGCGTTCTGCGGCCTTGGATGGACAAAAAGACGAACATCTACAACATTACTATTGCCGCCATCAACTTCGTCAATGCCATCTTTTTGCTGTTTTTCTCGGAGGTCTTCAACCAACCAGGAATTGTTACTGGCGTCATGGGCGTTATCTTCTTCGTTTATAACGCGGTTTTCTCGCTGATTCTATTGATTCTGGTGCTTATCGCATCCATCTACGCCATTGTATCGAAAAACCCCGATACCCGTTACCAGCCCATGAGAGACGACCGCGGCTCGTTTATCAAGTCGCAGAGCCAATTGACTACGGAGTTGGACGCCCTAGGTGCCACTGCACGCGGCGATGTCAAGGATACGTCGTACAAGTCAAGTCCCTTCGACGATGACAATGGCTCTTTCTCAAGCGGCAATGGAGCCAGCATTGGACGTCAGAATCTGCAAGCATCTCATGATACGACGCCGCACCGCCAAGCCCCAGTCTCTCCAGTTGATCCTTCGGTACCTCTATTCCCCAGCGACGGACGGGGGCCGCCTAACTATGGACGTTCACCATCGCCAATTCCATACCGCGCCCAGCACAATGCCAGCCCATGGCAGAGAGGGGCCGGGTATGATCATTAGAGGATCCCACTGACTGTTTTTTCTCTGAGCCTTTCTGGAAATGAAGTTATGGCGTAAGCGCGGGAGTGGACTGACCAATCGTCCTGTCCTCTGACCTCTGATATTTTCCTTTAACCCTTTCGTCGTTCATCCACCCTTTCTACCTCCTTTCCTTTTGCTTCTTTGTGATATACTCCAAAATCCTTTTTTTTTTTTTTTTAACTTCGCTATTGATCTTACTATATCCTTACTGGATGTTCTCTTTTTCCCTTGCGATTAAAGCTGGCGTTCTGAAGCATTGGATTTGGATATCGGGACCTGGGTTTGTGGACTTTTCTCAAGTATTTTAGGGACCTAGAGTCGTTTGTGCTCTGCATTGTCCGGTGGTGTATCATATCGCGGTTCCATGTATGGACAGGAATCATATTGCTAGAGCCTGCGTGAGACACGCATGGTATCCCAACATGCTCATTATTATAGAATACGTCTGTGGTTACCACAACTGGATGTTAGTGTGGACTCATGTTGGAATGATATAAACCCGAATGATCCTCAATCCGAGGTTTGGACATAGATGCGTGTGGCAATGGTTATATTGCAGTAAGATTAATCATTGTCACTAAATGCATTCGTATAATATCCTGTTAAACCACGCTGAAGTAGAACAAATAAAAAAGTTAGTAGAGATCTACCGACACGAAAGCCCGAGTAACATCACAAGTAATACAACACAATGACCAGCCCGAACTCAATCATCGCTTTTCACCTAGTCCCGGAGGAGGCCCCGGCAGACTCGAGGAGCCCATCCCCGGCGGCGCCGGGGGACCCGACATACCGGGCCCAGGGTTCGGACTGAAACCAGGCTGGCCGGGAGGAGGTACAGGAGGGAATCCCCCAGCGCCGGGAGGAGGAATCTGGAAATTAGGCGGGAATCCGCCAGGTGGCGGGACAGGAGGAAATCCTTGACCAGGGGGCATGTTGCCGAGAGGCGGAGGGGGAAGACCTCCTGGGGCGCCGCCTGGTGCTGGGGGGAAAGGAGGTGGGAAGGGGAGGCCTCTACCGCCGGGTGGTGCTGTCGGAGTGTCAGTGTTAGAGCGGGAGAATAGAAATGGGATGATAGAGGGTGTGGACGTACGAATGGGCATGCCCGGGGGAACTCCATTGGGCCCTCCGGGGGGAGGGATGCCGAATGGAGGAGGTGGGAGTTGACCGGGGCGACCTAAGCGGGGATATTGGTAAGTGCTTTTCCAACACAAAGAGAAGAGGATTGTCCATGAGCAAAGGTAATGTTACATACCAGGGAATCCGAACGGTGGGGGAAAGGCACCCGGAGGAGCCATTGCAGGGTTGGGAACAGCTTGGCCCTCGGCGGCATATGAAGACGTGATCGAGTCAATGACGGATTGTGCCTTTTCCTGTCCAATCTCTGTACCAATTGTCAGCACCGTCAGCGACAGACTGTGGTAGGGGCTGCATACGTTGATAGTATTCCACCACGTTCCTCAGATGATTCCGACCCGCATTGTGTGCCTTACGCACGCTCATCGAGTCGTGCGTGAGATATACATCGCAGTAGTCACCTGTACACAGAATCCACCGTTAGAATCACTGCAGCTGAGACTGAGGTCGTATTGATAAGATGATTGCTTTCGGATGGGCAATCGCATCCGAACCTCTGATATGTTTCCGACAGGGAAGACCTACAGAAGAGTACAGCGGATGTCAGCTTGGATGTTCACATTATAGGGAAGAGATACTTATATTTTGGCATTTTCAATTGTAGAAGCGATCGCTTCTGCAATCGTATGGGAGAAGTTCGAATGGGTGGCGCTCAAAAGGCGCGTTGCGCGTGGGACAAAGATTGCGCGCTGAGTCAGAACGGATCTACGCTGATCAAATAGTAATTCTCAGATTGCAGTACAAAACTTGTCTCGTTTGTCAATAGTTCGGTTGCATGCACAGTCAGGTTGGTTAATCAAAGCATTGTCGCAAGTAAATTTAGCTACGGAGCGGAGAGATTCCATCCAATGGAGGTTATCAGAGCGGTGAAAAGTGGCAGAATTCGATGATGTCCTCAGGCTCGAAGGTGTCAAGGCTAGCGACGTTGCCTGGAAGCAACTACGTGTTATGAGGTTGCAATGATGACGATATTCAGTCGATTATCTCAGTCATGGCTAATGATATTCAAAGCAGTGCGCCGAAACCATGGCAATTTAGAGGAATTGCGAGCTAAAATTTAGCACTGTTAACCATTACCATGCGCTGCACGTCTTGATAGAGCTCAAATGGGATGGAATACGCGAGCCGAGCGAAGAAGTGTCGTCCTACATTCGCATTGCTTTCTCACTCGAGGGAGGATATCCCATTTTGGCCATATATGACAAGAATTGTTGAAGCTGTTTGCTCATGCTTTGTAGATCAGTAGCGTTATCTGATGGTTCTTACAATGGATATCTGCCTGAACCATTCTACATAGTCAAGTCGATCTGTGGTTGAACACCGTGAGAGATCCGAGGAACTTCTCTGAATCATCTCAGCTGTGATTCATGATGGCGTCGATGTGTCAAGATGTTCTTCATCGACGGACTGTAGTGTGCTGCAACTGCTTCACCCTTGCAAGTCTCGAAACATCAAGATCAGAAATTAGCAGCAATGGCCGACACGAGCAGTTTTTACCAAGGAGAGGCATTGTACAAGGTTGAGAGAAACCCAACGTCTCATGAGATTCAGTCAAATAAATCTTGCAAGGACGACAGCCCAGCTCAGTGTTCATGCTGCAACCCCAGGGGATTGCCCCGTGCAGTCAAGATCCTCGTTCCTGTTGCAGTGGTTGCTGCAGTTCTAGCTGGGGTCATAGTAGGCACTGTCCTAGGAACGAGGGATACTCGATATCCGGATTATTTACCACTCGACTATTTCCTGGTGGATGAGTACCACCCGTCCTCCTTCTTTGATCACTTCTGGCACTTCACAGCCGAGGACCCTACCTATGGATTCGTCGAGTAAGTAAACAATCTTCGGCCTACATTGAGCTCGCGCTTACAAGGTACAGATATGTCGGTCGCAAAGAAGCAGAGTCCCTCAACTTGATACATTCTACAGACTCATCTGTAAGCATCAGAGTCGACAACAAAACCCGCTACGCACCCCGAGGCAGAAAGTCCGTCCGACTCGAGTCCAAGAAAGGCTACGACATGGGCCTATTCATCTTCGACATCATCCACACACCCTACGGCTGCGGAACCTGGCCCGCCCTGTGGCTCGCTGACACATACAACTGGCCGCTCAACGGGGAAATCGACGTCCTCGAAACCACAAACAGAGCTACAGAAGGCAACGTGGTCACCCTGCACACCGATAAGGGCTGCAGCGTCAAGGGAAGACGGAAGCAGCAGGGCTGCGCGCAGTACTCGACCTGCGACGATAAGCACGGGAACGCGGGCTGTGCTGTCCAAGCTCGCCCGGCCACGTACGGGAAGGAGTTCAACGAGAATGGCGGTGGTGTATGGTTCCCGTCCTCTGCCTTTTTAAGGCCAAAAATACTGACCCGTTCCAGGTATACGCGGTCGAACTGCGAGAAGCAGGAATCCGAGTCTGGGGTTTCCCTCGCGACTCCATCCCAGATGACATCTCGAATACGGAGCACAGACCTGACCCGTCCTCTTGGGGGTCGGCTCTGGCTGACTTCCCCAGCACACACTGCGACATCCCGTCTCACTTTAGCAACCAGAGCATCATCGTCAATATTGATCTATGCGGCGAGATGGGCGCCCAACGGGAGGACTACAACGATTTGTACGATTGTCCGGCAACATGTGAGGAGTTTGTCGCTCGCAACCCGCAGAATTTCTCGCAGGCTTATTGGGAGTTTCGCAGTTTTCAAATCTATCAGACGATGTGAAGGGGGTTTCTAATTTGACTCGCTATTCTTCCGTGGGATGCTGATTTTTGTGTTTATTGGATGACCTGCGACTGGCTCGCGGGATCTTGCTTTATATATGGACTTGCGGGGTCATATTGTTGATTGCCGCTCTTCCTGGCTTATGTCTAACGCAATTGATACCACATATTGATCTTTTCTCTACTTGATTGAGGTGAGCGTAGTACTACTAGTGCAAGTGCTAGTATGAAAGCCTAGCACAGAGTAAGAAATGCAGGTTACCCGACCTAACGACAAGAGACCTTGCATAAATCACGCAAACCTGACGGACAAGTCGCCATGACGTGATGTAGGATGAGATACAGAGGCCTCCTATTGAGACCACCGTAGTCACGTTCCCACTCCGCTCCAGCTGATTTGAGTGACAAACTGACTTCGAGGTCTCAATCCAGGAGATTAACCAGGAGTCGCCAGGAACCGGAGCGGCGGTCAAAACCCCAAGCCGGCCCCAGACCGGGGGCATTCTGTTACTTAAGATTATGCCGGCCGCAGGGTTCTAGTCCCTCTGATCTTCAGGCTTTAGCTAATATTAATAATGACTTGACGACTCTAACTCCGCAATATGATGCAGGGGGAAAGAAATGCCGCATATTGGGGATGTGCACGGAGTATGCAGTTTTGTACAACTGTGACACTGAGATGCTGATGTGCATGCTGCTGCTACACTCGTCGCAAATGGAGCAGTGGAGAGTAATGGGGCGGTTTTGTTTGGAAGGTGATCTCCGACTGCAGAGACTACCTTAGAAAGTATAGTTGTTCTGCAGTAGTCCGTTGGAGTTTGGGGAAGAGGGGTTCACCGAATCCAAGTTCCCGAACAGTTGAGTAGTAGACTATCTCAATAAAGTAGGGGATCTGCCACAAGGGGTATTGAACCCTTTAGAACGCAATTAATGATAACCCCTATTCTGCTGGTGAGATCACGGGGAGATATCACGGGATGCTGACTGCTGGTGGTGCCAGCATGACAGTTAGGTACGTGGTACTGAGCCACGCTGGGCTGGGGCTGGAAAATCCGGGGAAGGCAATTTCCTGTTTCATCTTGTCATTGTCAGGCTGGAGAAGCCTCGGAGAACTCGATTTGGGTTAAATGGACCGGCCATTTGCCGGTAAGGTGATCCGGTTGCTGGTACTGGTCAGTGGCACTCGGCGAGAACCACCAGTGACTATCCATTTTGACAAGTTGGAATGATGACTGGTAAAGGCAAAGCGGAAGGCCAGTTTTGCTGGTTGGAGTCGCAGAAAACTTGCTACCCCTCAAGGGAGATTGATTGGTCGAGAGCAAGTGGGTTACACAGGAGAAAAATAGAACGAGAGAAAAAAAATTTTTTTCCTTCCGTGCGTCATTTCTGAGATCCACCTTCTGTCTGCAGTCTGCAATCCAGGCTCTTCCGGTCTGGGGAAAGCTGTCCTCTTTGAGCCTAGTGTCTGTTCTCCTGTCGATTTGCGGTCAGGCCTGTCATAAGTCTCTACCACAAGTACGGCAGTACTCGGTACCTGGAGAGTAAAGCCTGAGATAATCGAGGTAGCGATTATGATAATATCAATTACGAAATAGCGATGCAGACTGCCCCAGAATGAACTAGATACTTGGTAGAATCCAAGATTGAGAAGATTCTACGATCCTTCATCCTTGACTGATCGCCCCTGACTTGATCTTGGCGCTAGACTCGAGCAAGGCTAGTCGGATCTACAAATGCCAAGTCATACACTTTTGCGTCCTCTCCTCCGAGACATCACTATTGAAGACTCTTCCTGACACTCAGTCATGGGATAGATTATTGTCTGCCAGGAAAATAGTGCTATAATAGTAGATCCATCACCGAACGCTCAGCCTCAGAAAGGGGTAGGTACAGGGAGAATATTCTGCAGCCTGCCATGGAGATTCATGATGGCATGGAATGTCCTAAGAGATGGCAGTTTCTACGACAAGAATGATGCAATTGTACATGGATTTAGGTACATGCGGGGTTTTTTATTTTGTTCTTTTTGCTTTGTCCGCTTTCTTTACGCCTCGACGCGCAACCACCCATAGTCCGATAACAATAGGCCATGTTACATTTACTATACTACGTAGAGTTATAGATGGTGAGGAACGATAGTCTGGGATTCCCCATGCAGCATTCACCAAATAAAGATGCCACGAGACTACCTTAATTAGGATTTCGCCGCATGATCCAGCCCCCAGGAACTGCGACGCAAATAGCCAAGGGAGAGGATCTGAAGCATCGACAGAGACGGTGAGTGGGAATTGGAAACATCGTCATTCCACCATGTCTAGAACCATCTGCTCTCCTCATCGTGACCAACACCTGGATTGCTTCGGTGGCATTTCGGGAAAGAGGCGAGTGCTCAAAGCGACTCGTGACTGACCATCCAGCAATTTCCATTACCCCCAGAAAATTCTAGGGAGCATATGATTGGCTCCAAAGGCCGTTTCTGTTACGTTTGCCACGCCGCGGAGGGACGGTGTGCTCGTCAGATGATCTCCAGGAATTTCTTAAAGCAGCAAGGGCTGTTGGCTGCCAACTGGAGTTTTTGCCCAATAGGAGACTGAACTGCTGACACAATTTTGGCACATTTGCTTCTGATTGGCTGCTGCGCCGCTGAATCAGCAAAATATTCTTGCTGCCGCCTTACAGCCTGCTGAAGAACCGCGCGCATACTCTCGGAGGCTTACCTGATACGTCAACCGTGAGAGAATTTTCGCTGGGGAAACTTTTTGTGGTTTTGACGACAAGACTAACCGCCAACTCCACTTGGCTATCCAATATCCACAAACAGCACCGCGTGTGACCCTCTGGTTCTGTCCGTGACTCTTGTGCCTGGCAAGGAGCGCCCCATCTATGGCACTAATGGTGCGATTTGGTGCAATGATGGTAGACCATGACGGCACAAGGGAGCATAACTATATAAAACCTTCCCCGCCAGAATGTTTGGGTCCCATACTATACGGTCTCCATCCAGCAAACAAAGAAATTTCTTCTCCTTGTTACCTCGCGTCCTCTAATACTCATCGCTAGCCTTTTCTCTCACACGTCTTCGATCTTTACAAACTTATCTACTTGATATTCGAGCATTCTGCTTCTGCGTGCTTGAAGTCGCCTACAATTCCGCGCGGTCACGTCAGCTATATAGACTAGACGTTGAGCTTCATCAATTAGATGGTTCTTTGCTGAGAGTTGGCTCTTGAGTCAATCGCACGATCCGCATACCACGAGCTTGATTCGAGTATAATCCGGTCAAAGGATATCCATCACCACTACCGACATTATGCCCGCGAAGATGAACTACCGCGTAATTGAACCTCACCCGTCCGTTCCTCACAGCAGCCGTCCAGCCCTACATACAGCTCGCGGAGGCGCTGGCAATGTCATCAGCCTGGAGAACACCAAGACTACCGATTCGCAAACAGCCACCGGCCCCGCCTCTCTGACACGTCTGGATTCCAATGTCCCGAGGACCTTCAAGTCCGGCCGCGGCGGCGCAGGCAATGTCCGCAGCAGCAGCGAACGAGCAATCTTCAGCTTTGACGAGGAACTGGAACGGGAATTGCGCCGTGCCGCCCCTGTCTACCATGTCGGCCGAGGAGGTGCCGGCAACATGATCTACGGCGATAGCTGCAGTAGCGGCAGCAGCATCCTCACCCGCAAGTTTTCTTCCAGCAGCACGGCATCAGCGAGCAGCACCGGCTCCACTCGGGAAAAGGCCCTTCGTGGCCTGGAGAAGGGCTGGGGGAAGATCAGGGGTATGGCTTAAGGGGTTGCCACTCCCTTTTGCAGAATGCGCTTCTCTGCGCCTAACGACATGACGATTTACGACCAGCAACAAAAAAAAGTTTTTCCTATTTCCGATTATCATCTACTTGGGGAAGTCAACTATCACCTACGCTTTCTTAATCCAACTTCAACATCCTTCGTGCGATGTGATTACTGTGGAGCGTCCTGGCCGACAATCCGCGACTAAATCTATCCTTCTGCTTCAACGTGACTGTATCGATCTGATACCCCTGCTACTATACATCTGAAATCTGCTTCCCTTGTCTATGATTCCCCAAGGATTTTTCAACATCCATTGCGCCTATCTCCCATCATTCATACCATTCTGTTTCTTCAAAAATATTCGGCGTGTTTGTGGCATACCAGATCTATGGATTGGCATCGGGGAGGCCATCTGCATCTGCATTTGCATCTGCATCCCTCATGTATCTTAGCGTACCACTGGCGTTGACCACACACCAATTGGAAACACGAAACAGATTTCTGCTATTGGATCTTTGCTCTACTTTTATTCTTTATTGTAACATGTCCGTAGTCATTCATCCGTAGACCAGACTTATGTACCCGTACTGACGATATGGCATACATTTGATCATCGTACGACATGTCGCTCATTCCGTCTATATTCCAATGTCTATTATGTACAACATCTGCCTTCAGACGGCTCCCGCTGATACAGTACAGGCCAAACACTACCTGAAAACAACCAGCCCCACTAAAGCGTGAAGTAAATTACTTGCTGTTTGATAGATTCCGGCAGCGGGACATGGATTTCATGCATAGATTGAGGTGCTATCATGTGGTATTTGCCAGCAAGAGAAAAGAAAGGTATAGTGCGTGATGGGATGGACGATGCATGAATGGCTCAAGAAGAGGGAAGAAGAAGGGTATCAAAAGCCCAAGCCTAGCCGCTACGAGTAGTGGTTTGACTCAATTGAGCCCGCCGGACTTGTGACGGCTGGTCTGGTGTCTATGGGCCAGGAGATAGAAAAGGACGAGCAAGACTCGTCCCTTCACGATCACCGCGTTTGTTGATGTGAGAGACATGTTTAGGCGAATTTCCTGTGGATGATCTCCGGGTCTTCGTGCCATTCGTCTGCGCTTACCCACATCTGACGGAGGTGTTAGCTGGTCTGCTTTTGGGTATGGGTTGGGGAGTGACTTAAGACGTACCTTTCGGAATGTGCTGAGCCCGGCGAGGATACCACCGCCGATCCAGGTGGTGTATTTCCGTTCTGCCGGAGCAGAGATGCGGATCTTCATGTCCTCCACGGCCAATCTCTTGATCTCGCGCATTAGTCTGTCCGGGAAGTTCTTGCACAGTGTTGAGCCGCCTGAGAGGACGATGTTGAGATACAGAGATTTCCGGAGATCGAGATCTGTGCGGGTGATGGCGTCTTGGACGATCTGATGAACGCCAGGGTATTCCAGGCCGATGAGCTCGGGCTCGAATAGGATCTCGGGGGCTCTGTAGCGCTCTTGTCCGATCTATCCTGGCTGATTAGCTCGGTCTCCCCATGATGGTAGAAGGGCTGACCTTGATCTTGTGCCCATCAGGCAATACGTAGTCGACGGCTTTGGCCTCCGACTTGTGATAACTGTTCATCCAGTCCTTCTCTTCCCGCTTCGGATCCAACGACACGTAGCAGACCTTCTCCTTGATCATCCGCACCACCTCCTTCTCCGCACTCGTATGCAGCACATGCCCGTTCTTCCGCAGCAGCAGCTGCAATTGCTCCGTAACATCTCGCCCCGCAACATCAATCCGCCGTATACTATTGGGAATCGCGAAACCCTCAAACACAGGTACCGCATGGGACACCCCGTCCCCTGAGTCCAGCACCACGCCCGTCGTGCGCCCGGACGCGTACAGCGACAGCACCGCCTGGATGGACGTATACAGCGCCGGCACATTAAACGTCTCGAACATGATCTGGGCAGCGACATCGCGGTTCTTGCGCGGGTTGAGCGGCGGCTCCGTCAGGAGCACGGGGTGTTCCTCCGGTAGCGTCTTCAGCTCGTTCTCGTACACGTAGTGCCAGATTTTCTCCATGTCGTCCCAGTCCGTCACGATGCCGTGTTCCAGGGGGTATCGGATCTTGAGCAGCCCGCGCAATTCCTGTGCTCGTTGCCCGATAAACACGTCGCCCTCTAGACCGCCAGCCATCACCCGGGGGTGTTTTGGCCGCCCGACGAACGAGGGGAAGAAACATGAGGGGATCTCTTCTCCGGCGAAACCGGCGCGAATTGTGCCGCTGCCATTGTCGATGACAATGGGGGCGTTGTGAAGCGTTGCCTCGGCCATTCTGTGAGGAGAAGGGTTGTGTTTGGGGAGGAAGTCGGTAGGGGGGAGGCGGCGCGAATTGTGGTGACAATGGCCCTGCGGCCTATTCTTGCTGGTTGTGACTCGTAAGACCGGTGGATGCGAAAGATTATAACTGGTAGCTTGTGAAGTGAGTTTTAGTTCATCCGCGTGGACACTGGTAGTTGTATGCGAAATAGATGTTTTTAGAGGGGATTTTGTTGTTGTATCCCGCAACTCTTCGCGTCCGCTCAAGTTTCCCATCAACAAGGAGCTTGGGCCAGCCGACTATCGCTGCTACAGATGTACTTCTACGACTATTTGCCGCGACACAAAAATTTATCATAAAATACCACAATGGCGGACCCTGAAGGCTTGAAAACAATAAATACCTAAGCAGGCAAAATCCAATGTTCATGAACGGTCGTCCACTAAACAAACAAGGCATCGGCCTTTCTTCTATTTGAGCACACGCTTCGATCGACCAACAAATCTGCCTCAAGGCCCATGCAGGGGGCACAAAAGCTTGGACCAGATATCCTGAGGTCAAGCTTGAAGCAATTCCAACAGTTGGAAGCACCGAGGATGAAGGAGTAGCGGCGGCGTTATCGTTCGCAGTTCATGTGAAAGTAGCCAAGAGGTAGCATAAATCATCATTCATAAGGGAGTTGACGGTATTTTTCAATCCACAAATCCCATCTCATCAGACATTACTTGCTCCAGTGTCGGCTGATTTTTCTGGCCAGGGCCACGAACAGGCGGCCACCTTAGCATGCGAGCTCGCAGTTGTTCAGCCTGATGCAGTGCTTGGCAAAGATTTCTGCAGGGTAATTAGCAAAGCTTGAAGCACATATAGCAGAACCTGAAACATACTGATAGTGACTAGCAACCACGTATCCTTGTTTCTGTAACTGGCGGGCGAGTTCCTCTTGATGGTTGTCCTGAAGAGAAGGATTGGGCACAACGATGAGGGGAATGCCCATCCGTAACACCTCGAGAATGGTGCCAGAACCTAACAAGCATTCCATGTCAGATATCAGAAGACGCCAGTGCTGATTAGCGGCCAAGAAAGATGATCCATACCTGCGTGACTGATAACCAACCCACCACTTCGTCCTTTACTTATGTCTGCCTGAGCCAATGCAAACTCTCCTCCCAGCCCATGCTCGTGGAAGGAGAAACCACCGATATCTATTCTGCGCCATGGCCTGCGCTCAGGTGGGTACTGCTTGAGGAAATTCTCATAAATCACCGCATTCTTGCCGTATTGTACCAGTAAATGCGAGTAGCCATTTTTCTCCAGGGCCGTCACAAATGAGGGATCCAGCGCAGCGCGTACAAGCTCTTCAAAAGAGGCAGTTGCGCCGACTGTCACAAAGCATACTTTGGTCGCGAGCTTCGCTGACATGACCGCAAACTAAGTCCCCAGGAACTCAGTTTGACAGGGAATTTGATCGATGCCTTGACAGGGCCGCAGAAGCATTTCAGCTCCTAAGCTAGTTAGGCCCTTTGAATAAATACGCAAGTCCGTTATCAACCACCATCAAGGTCAGACAAAGGAGATGATGAATGGTTGTTGCAGTACTTCGGAGTGATGCATTGATACGATGGCAGCAGTGAATGCGCTTATCCAGTTTGGGTTTAGCGTTGCCATGCGAAGTTCATCCGCAGAAAACATCTCCGACGTGCAAATCCCAGGAGGAATTCGACAACCCCCCCACGGCCAATCTTCGCCCGCAATGGCCTTTGTCGCAAGATATCTGGGCCGTACGGCCTTTTCGGTCGCTCGGAGAGGTCCGGCTGCTATTCAATCTCGCCCATTCTCTGTCACGCCCTTCAGATTCATGCCGGAAGATCCGCCAATTACCAAAGAACCCTCGCCGGAGGATGAATTGCCTGACGTGCCGGAGTACTCGCCAGATCTCCTTAGCAAGGAGGAGCGGTCAATGTATGATATGCTATCCCCGGAGGAACGGGAGGCCTTTGACGCGGAACAACGTCGCATGATCGAGGAATTCAATGACCCGCAAGTGCGAGCGGCCAAATTTGCGGAGATCGAGAAGAGTGTGAGAGACATAGAGAAGGAAGTAGGGTTGCGATTTGAGGATGTGCCGGACAGATCCCGGGGCTTCTGGGCTGAGGAAGAAGACGATGAATTCGGTCTTGTGGAGGACGCAGACGACGATTTCCACGACGATGAAATCACCTCCATGGCGCACGCGGAGGTCGAATTGCACCGCGAGATTCGTGAATATGCTCGCATCGCGGCTTGGGATATGCCTTTACTGAGCAGTAAGTTCCAACATTTCTAGGCGACTATGGTTCAATGCTAATCTGGCCTCCAATCCCTAGAACTCGCCAAACCTTTCACCCTTCCTCCCGAAACTCACATCCTGCGCTTCCGCTACACCACATATATGGGTGAACAGCATCCAGCCGAAAACAAGGTGGTCGTCGAATTGGCCAGCAAGGATCTTGTCCCCAAATATCTCTCCGAGGAACAGCGCCAAACCTTCCTGAAACTCGTGGGAACCCGCTACAACCCCGATACGGACATTGTACGCATGTCCTGCGAGAAATTCACAACTCGCGCCCAGAACAAGCGATACCTGGGTGACATTGTCAACACCCTGATCAAAGAGGCGAAGGAAGGCGACTCCTTCGCAGACATCCCTCTCGACCTCCGCCACCACAAGCCCAAGACTCAGCTGCGCTTCCCGGAGGAGTGGGCGATGACAGAGCAGCGGAGGAAGCAACTCGAGGCCACACGGAGAGAGAGACAGCTCAACGAGCAAACACGGCGGGCAGTCGTGGATGGGAACGCCATCGTTGCACAGGCCACTCTGTCACTGCCTTCCTTGAACCCTGCCTTGAGGGCCAGAGCCGCCGAGGAGCGAGAGAAGGTTGCTGTCAAGGTTGGAGCCAAGGGCCAGAAGAAGAGAGTACGTTAGACCCTCGTCGTGGTGGTGTATTGAACTTGACTAGTTCATGTATTCGATGGATGTCTTCTTTTGCGTGATTTTGAGTTCGAAAATATCAAGGGCGGGCGCACATGTCAAACGGTCGTATAGACTATCACTTACACTATTGTACAATATTCTACTTCATGAGCTTTTCCCATCTTTTATCACTGGGATGTAAGTATACTATGTTTCTGCTTCATGCCTGTACCACGAAAGAGGAATCAGAGGAAAGCTTCCAGCAAGTCAAATGCAATCAACCATCCTATGTCATTAAGGCCATCCTTTTTTTTGTGATTTTTATTTAAAGATATAGATCCATACTTCTCAACCGTCGTTATAACAGACGACAGACACAGAAGGACGACGAGAGATCCGCCCAAGTTCAAAAGTCACGAGAACAATAGTCCGGCGAGGTCAAAGTCGAAGCCAACTTCAACTCATCAACCTCGCGATTGGTTTTGTTCACAACCTCCAAACTAGCAGTTCAATCTCATATCCTTCCTCCGTTCGTAATTAAAATAATCGGCTGAAGACTTAAAGCCACCCAACGAAATCAAGAGAGAGAGACAACAAGCAAAAGGTCAGGAATCGGAAATGTGAGATGAAAGGATGTCAAACCGTCGACGAATGAATGTCCACAATCGGTATCCATGCAGACGCTATCAACTTGAATGACCTCCATTCTCCATGTTGCCCTCCGCCATCGAGTGGTGGGTATATTTAACCATGGGCGAGTGAGTGAATATTGTACGAGAAACCAGACCAGCTGGCGTGTCATCATAAGGGGAAGTGACTAAAAAGAGAAGAAGAGTGGCCACCATCCGCTTGCTATCACGTGAGGGTGAAAACCGTCTGTAAGAGACATTCGTGACTGACACAAACCGGGCAAGGATTCTCTCTTATATGGGGTTACTTGGCACGTCCTTCGCCCCTGCCGAAAATGTCGTCGGCAGAGGAGACGGAGGGACCTTTGAGGACCGTTGGGTTCTTATGAGTGAACACGCCGATAGGTGGAAGGAGCGGCTTGAGACGTCCATCGTCGTCGTCGTTTCTGGCGCGGCTGTTGAGGTAGGCAGTAGGGCTGGGCTCAGAGCACGAGAGGCAAGACTCGGTCGAGGATGAGCGGCGGTGGCGGGGTGACTCGGAGGACCTGGGAGTTCCCTGCACGATGCCGACGCCGGTCTTGGGGGCCACAAAAAAGTCATCGTCATCGTCATCGTCGAGGTCCTTGACGGCCTCAGCAGCAAGGTTATAGATACGGACACTCTGCTGGCGAATCTGGTTGGCATCCAAAGCATTGGTCTCCGTACCACCATTAGGAGCAGGATTAGGAGCAGCAGGACGGTCCTGGAACAGGCGACGAGACTTGGGTTGCACGCGTTTAGTGCGAGGCTGACTGGCGAAGACGTCCGTATCGGCGGGCACCGTGTTGGACTTTCCAGGCACAGTGGTAGCTGCAAACATGTCATGCAGACCACGCAAGAACTCGTCACGCTTGGCACGCTCTTTGGGATCGGAGATAATCTGTTGGCCAGAACGGCTCAGATCGCTGGATGTGTAGTCAGGAAGGGGATCGAAGGAGAGCAGGTCGATCTTCTTATTGTACACACTGGTACCACGATTCTGGGGAGTGGAAGCATGAACTGGGCCACCCTTGTTGCGCGCGTGTGAGCTCGAAGTCTGAAGCTGCGCACCCTGTGCCTGCTTGGAACCGTGATGGCGAGCAGAACCTCTAGGCGAGCTGACATTGCTGAAGTTGGGGCGGCCTGGAAGCGCAAGAGGAGTCGGCTGGTGCATGGAGACAGCCCCCGGGCCCTTAGTGCCTCTTTCAGTATCGGAATGCTCAGCAGTTGCATCGATTGCCAGACGAGAGCCCCTCGCAGCACCGCGGTCGGAAGCAGCATCATCTAGCAAGCCGGCCAGAGCACGCGACTCACGGGTCTGGTTGCCTCCGCCTGACAAAAGGCTCGGGACGTGGTACTTGTCACGGTACCAACGGGGAATATCGCGCAGACCAAGCTTCTCGAGCATGGAGCGATCGGTGGGCATCTCATGCTTAAACAGACAGCCTGCATGATTGTTAGGCCTCACTTGTCGATTGCCTGTGGTCATGGATTGGACTATACCTTGCTGCTGATAGTCGCACTCGCCGTGACGGATCCAGTAAGAGCAGTATTCCTTTTTCTGATGACTGCCCTATGCCATGGTCAGTTCCGTCTTGCTCCATGTCTTAAACTGAGGACGACTCACCTGTCTGGGGGTCCCACCACCGTTTCCCACAGTGTGACCCGCAACAGCACCAGCATTAGGAGCAGTACCTACATTAGCAGGCACAATCCAGCCATGATTAGGAGGTGGAGTAGGCATCACCCAGTTCTGACCATTGGCCTGCGGATACATAGGCTGAACAGCCAGACGCTGCTGGGGAGCAACACCGTTTTCATCCGGCATGTATCTGGGCGCGGGACCTTGACCTTGGTTGCCATACTCCCTAGCACGCGGGCCGGGGACGTTGGGGATATCGACTGGAAACTGGAAGCGAGAGAAAGGAAGAGTACTCTCCACGACATAGAACGAGCAACGAGGGCCCACGGTACCAAGGCTGGTCATGCCCTGGGTATCACCTGGAGAAAGAACGCGTGGGGCCGAACGAATATTGACGTGGATAGGCAGCTCGTCAACAGCAATGAGAGGAACAAGAGTACCATTAGGTCTGGCGCAGAAAAACTGAGGACGCAGAGGGGAGGACATGACGTCGGGATTCGCTCTCCAGAGCTTGAATTTGACACTCAGAAAGCCTGCAACTCAGAAGAGCTGAGAGGTTATCAAAGAAGTGATCTTGAGATCGCTTAAGAGGATATAACAGGGTAAGTGGTGCTTTGGAGTTGAATGATGAAAAAGCTTTGCAGATGGTGGGTGTTAAGAGAGAGAAAGAGGGAGGCGAGAAGAGGTCAAACAGGATATTTCTCGCGTCTATCGCTGAATGAATGCTCGCGATGTATTTTGATGTTTTGTGTGCGATGTGAAGCGAGCTGGACATTCACTGCTGAATAGCGCAGAGGCTGAAGCAGCACACTACCTTCTATGTGTTGTGATCACAATATGGATGAATCTACTAAATCAATGACAGGCAGCGTATATAGCGGCTTCAAGAACAACATCTAAGAGAAGGAATAATCAGCCGCCAGGGAAAAAAAGTATATAGGCAGATGGGATGAAGCTATCCCAAAGTCTGGATACTAGACCAAAAAGACTATATCGACTGAGCTTCTAGAAAAGACAACGAACAACAATAAAAGAACGAGAGGAAGAAAGGGAAACATTTTTCTTTAGGATTCAAAGATTCAAAAGAACAGAAGAAAAAAGCTTCAAGCTTAGTCCTTTAAAAAAAGCATGGCCTGTTTGCCTCCATCCTAGACCATATGGTGTTGGCATCGGTACAACAGCTCAGCGGATGGCTGCAGTTTGCTCTCCCACTCGCCTTCTTTGCTTTTTCTTTCCCTTCCCTGAGCCTCCTTTGAACAGGCCAACGGTTTTCTGGAAGAGTAGAGAAGGCCTAATTCTTTTTGTATTGTCTTATTTCAGCATTTTGATTGTCTTGAATGGCGGACCCTATGGATGAGATCATGAGGCTGATTGTTCGGGATGTAAGGTTGCACCTTTGACTACTGAGGATGTCTTCTGTTGGACTGTGGAGCCCGCCAGCTTTACCAGGCTCAAGACTTGCACGTCAGTGTTCGTATAGACGTTCTCACGCTGATCTAAGCGTATAAAGTAAAGTACATCATGGTATCAAAGTCGTAGAAAAGATTCCATTCCGATCCCCATGTACGCCCATTGATGCACGTCCCTATGTAAGAACCACATTCCAGTCCATTCCTCTGCCATAGAAAGTCAAAAAGCGCCGAAACAACAGAAAAATAGAGAAACAGCGCAGATTATCTTCCTGATGTTGGGAATCTTTGTCCGGGCTGACTCGGGCCGAAGGACGTTGTCCCATGGCCAGCCGGGTAACTGGTCAGATCGATAACGGGCGAACCAGTTGAACCGGTGTTGGTTGTACCAGGAACTCCATTACTGACCTGGCTTGCTGCAGCCCTACTGGCCAGAATCCTGCGACGCTGTGCAAGGGAGCCGCGTATCCCTTGCAGGTATTTCTTGGCTTTCTCGATAAGCTCGCGATCCTCAGTGCTGTGCCTCAGAGCGTCTAACATCCTTGCCACTTGTGTCTCAGACCGAAGGTGGGGGCAAGTACGTGCAATCCCATAATGCGCAAGCCCGCATAGACCGCAATGTTCAACGCCGGCCTGCTTCAAGGGGCAAGAGCCCACCGGATGATGCTTGGCACAGACAAAGCAGGGCGGGTGACGCGCCTCCACATTGCCGTCCATGCCTGTTGCACCGTATGCAGGGACTCCGTCCTCTTCGGCAGCGATACGTTTGAAGGGACGGACTGTACGCGTGGTTAGTACCGAGGAATCAGTGCTCAGGCGGGGAACTGCGTTACCTTTGGACTTCTTGGAGGACCGGTCCATCTCGTCAGAATCCATCCCAGGGTCATTGTCTGATTCAGATTCTATGACCTCGTCCGCATTGTATTCAACGTCATTGTCGGCCTCGCGGCGAACCTTCACAGGCGAGACGTCCGTTGTGTCTTTTCCGTAGTCTACTGCTGCTCGCTTTCGTTTGCCGCGGCCCAGCGTCTCTGCCTTTCTCCTGGCCTCTTCTGCCGCCGCTTGCTCACGCTCCTGCAAAATCTTCTCCCATAGCGTATTACTGATTGCGGGATCTTCACCTTTATCTTCAGTGTCCTGCAGTTGGCCTTCCAGATTTTGGTTGTCATTCGCCCAGACCCTGGCGAAGCTGAATTGAGACTCAGGCGCACTTTCGTCAGGCGTCTTCGCTTGCTCTTCCTGACTCCGATCAAGGAGCTTGTCAACAGATTCCGAATCGTACTGAACGTCTCCTGAGTCGTCATCATTAAACAGTGCTTGGGCTCCGTGACGCAATATAGATTCCAAATCCCGCCCATCATCCTCCTCCGCGACCATCCTGTCAATGAGAACATGATCAAGGACCATCTTCTTCTTGCCAATCTGCATAATTTTCTCTTCGACGCTTCCGCGAGTCATAAGCTGAAAGACAAGCACTTTATTCTTCTGACCGATGCGGTGAGCGCGAGAAAGTGCCTGCATATCTTGATGAGGATTGAAGTCTGGATCCATGATGATAACAGTATCTGCCGTGGCGAGATTAATTCCCACACCACCGGACCTGGTGGAAAGAAGGAATGCAAAATATGGTGAGTTATCAGCATTGTATTCATCAATACGTTTCTGCTTCTCCAATGAAGTCATTCGTCCGTCCAGACGGCGATGCAAAAGGCCGAGGCCGTCCAGAAAATCTTCAACAATATCTAGATTATCGAGGAACTGGCTGAAGATCAAAACTCTGTGGCCTCGCTGCTTAAGCTTAGGAAGCATAATCTCAAGCAGCTTGAGCTTTCCTGATGCCTCAACCAGGTGCTTATGCGACGCAGCAGCATTAGCAGTGCGCTCCTCGATTGCTTCACTGTAGACAAAAGGATGGCATAGGCATTTTCGAAGCTGCATCAGGATATTGTTCAGATTATGGCGATCTGCCTGCTTAACGCCTTCAGAGTTATTGTTCCTCTGAAAGATCGCCTTTATCAGCTGCGGATTCTTCGCCAAAATAGATTTGTACAGCTTCTTCTGAACAACAGACATGGACACAGGCACAATGATTTGAGCTATGGGAGGAAGAAAGGTGAGCACTTGTGCTTTTGTACGTCGCAGGAAGAATGGTCGAATCATGTTGTGTAGTTCAGGAATGTTCTCTTTTGAGAGTGTGCCGTACTCTTCATCTAATTTTGCAGCGTCCTTGGTTGGATCACAGAACTGAAGTAAATTGAAGAGCTCACGCGTGTTGTTCTGGAGTGGTGTGCCTGTGAGGAGTAGCTTGAAGGGAAACTTGAATCGCGACAGAGATTCATATATCTGGCTCTTGTCGTTCTTCAAGCGCTGCCCTTCGTCGACTACCAGACCTGCCCACGGTATCTTCATGAGAACTCGTCGAGACGCGTCATCAATCATAGTCTCATAGGATGTGACTACAACATGACATCGAAGATCTGGTTCGCCCTGAGAAAAGAGCTCGTGCTCCTGGGCCAGCTTGCGGGCGAATGCTGAACCGTAATATGTGACGACGCGGATGGAGGGAACCCATGACTTGATCTCCTTGCGCCAATTTGGACAGGTTGAGTTCGGCACAACAACAAGGAAGGGCCAGCACTTGTGGTACTGGATGAGAGTCGCGAAAAAGCCAATAACTTGAATAGTCTTTCCTAGTCCCATTTCGTCCGCAAGGATGGCATTTTGTTGCTTAAACCACATGTAGTATAGCCAATTCACCCCGTCTTTCTGGTAGTCCATTAGCTGCCCCCCGGTCATCATCTCAGGCTGAGTGTCTCTGACAACTTGAGACTCGAAATTTTGCTTCCGAATGTGAGCAAGATGCTTCTGAAGTGCCTTTTGCTCTGGCATATGGATGTAATCACGTTCAACCCAGTCATCATAGGCAGCTTTGAAGTCATTCCATCGTTCAGTTTGGCTAGGATCAGGAGGAGAGTCCCACTCTGCTTCCTCATACGGCAGGCCTTTGAATTTCATGTACGCCCTGGTCACCTTGTGAATCCTCTCAAGGTCTGACTCAAGGCTTCGCTCTTCCACTTCTTCAGAATAGTACACTTGGAAGACAATGTCAACGCGCAGGAAATCTTCAGGGATCGCTTCCTCTATAGTCATATGGGGCTGGAAATTTTTCTCTGACCTGAAGAAAGCTCTTCGCATAGCAGGACTAACAATACCCCAGACCCAGCTGCCGGGCATCCATGACGTATGGTGGTAGGAATACCCCTTCCATTTGATGAGATATTCCTTATCCGCTTCCTTCACCCCGTCCACAGTGTACCCAGCGACATGGTTTGGGGTGTCTGCTGGTCGCCACGCAACTATCGCACCGATCTCGCCGGGGACTGATGAGCAATCGTGGCACTTCCAAGTATAGGAGTATTCTTCAAAGCGGGCCGTTGCAGGATCATCGGTCGTATCGGAAATTGGAGGTAGGTGTTCAAAGTGAAAGGCTCTGTGGCAGGCTGTACATCGGAATAGCACATTGTCCACATTGTTGACAGTAGTAATGTCCACAGGGGTAATCGGATCTTTCCCACCATTGTCCTGGCGAATCTGCTGTTCTTGCTTCGGTGTCAAGCGCTCGCGGAGAGGCTTCGACATCTTGCCTTGATCGTTACATTTCATACAAAAGCCTTGATGGGATGATATGGGGTCCTTTGCATGGGAGACTCCTATGCAGCGCCGGCATTGGAGAACAAACTGTTCATCAGCAACTTTGGTGACTAGATGATCACGATTCGATCTGGGGCCTAAGCAGGCTTGGTGATAGGCACTAGTACAGCCCTGACAGAAAACAAGAGGACCTCTAGTGTCATCATCACCTTCGATTCCACAAACCTCGCAGATGCCAAAATGGCGAAGGCGAAACGCATCTTCTGGAGGAATCTTTTGAAAAGTCTCCTTGGCACCGACAAATCTCTTTTCTCTTGAAGAGTCTTCCTTCTCAGAGATATCATCTTCCATCCTTTCATGCAGATTCCGCCGCAAGGTCTTCCGCTGACGAGTTGAGAAGCGCTCGCCTCTAGGTTCAGCGTACTC